CCGATAAGGTTTATTAGGTGCACAGCACCCTAGGCATCGAAGATCATGGCGCCCACGGATAAAAATTTTCGCCAAAACCGGATGGAAATAAACTCCAGGTGGGTGAAACGGTCCCCTTGCGTCAAAGGGGTTCTTGAACTACTGAACCCAAATGCCCCACATTACTAGAAGACCACTTATCTGTATAGTAGAAACCTACTGTTCCACTTGAAAATCTGCTCTTAACAAGGATTCCAGTTGGTACAACAGAATTTCCGTCCAAAAACGGAGACGTTCGCCACGATAACAATTCACAGCACAACCGGCATTTTTCCGTTTTCGATTCCAGCAATCTGAATTTGAAAGCAAAATCAGTGCCCGTCCATTATCCAAAAAAACCTAGTCATAAAACTCACCTGAACAACACTACTAGCAATAAATTCAGTTGATTATTGTTTTCATTCCCGAAACTATATGCCACTTTATAGATCAGATCTGGAGATAACTGCTCTAGATGATCTGGAATAGAACAGCAGGAATATTCTACTACGTGGTAATAGTATATTCTACAGTATTATGTGTACAAGCCATATCTCGGCTTGGAGGAGGAGTGTCTGCCGACCTAACTGATGGGCGGCGGCGGTGGATACTTGGCAGTTTCAGACAAGCGCAGACTGCATGTGCGTAAACGAGCGGACGACAGGAGAAAACCTCGATGCACCTCTGACCCTTCTCCGCTGGAGACGATACGGTGCCGTGGAGGGGCGCTGTTCGGCGACGGGGGCCTTTTGCATTTTTGCAGCTTCTCTAGTTTCCGTTTGCAAGTCTTACTCTGGTGGACCTGTGCATTCTTGCAGCTGGAATAAATACTTCCAGCCACCATGATAAAACCTGTCAACTCTCGTAAGGCTCTCTCGAGGCACGTCGATGGGAAGTGGCAAAAGTGCAAAATGTACCCCCTCCCACCTCCCCCGTCCTCGAACTGCGCCCCCGGACGTCCGAGTTCGCGATTCAAGAGACAAGGAACATCAGAGAGTAGGAGAATGTGCGAAAACCTAAGGAGTTGGTAACTATCTGGTGATTTGAGGGAATAGGGGAACACCGGATTCGAGTCGTAGAAGCGCATAAAGAAATGGGTGGTGATCGCCACTGGCTAGTAACGTTTTTGGGGAGTTGGTGAATCGAAGAAGTGGCGGAAAACGGAAAAACGCAGCTTTTGAGTACTCCTCTAAAACCAAATGGACTGCAGATCGGGTTACAATACTTTTCCAGCCCAAAAAACATCCTTTAGGTTCATTTGAAAAAATATTTTCAAGCGCCTCCTTCCGATTCTCTATTTTTCGTAACCAGAGGATGAAAAGTAGCAAACACTTGATGCAGTATGTCGCAATAATCCAACACCGTGCTGCTTCCCACCCCTGCAGTTCTTTGACACAAGGCGATTTGGTCACTACAACCGCGCGATCGGAGCGACCAAGTGACGAAGTAAAAAGCCATCCTTACTTGAAAAGTTACCACTATTTTGTACTTAGAGCTTGAATATTGCTATACTTTGAAAACCGTCCTGGGAAAAGGAAAGTGTACAGATTCCCAATTTCACTAAAGTGGTCAATAGCAGCTTTGAACAAAGGGAGCTTAATGTTGTCAAAGGTACATTACAGGCCACAAGGGGACTACTATAACAGTAATGCTCACTGTCTTCTCCACTATTTCGTTCAACGAATTTCACTGCGTCACTATAATTACGACTCTCGATCAGTTGTAGTAAATGTAGGGCTGGTTTTAACGCAGCCACCATTTTTCCATCGAACCGCAGACCAGTTCAACATGAAATCGAACTGACTGCGGGATAAGGCTAAAATGCTTACACCTCGATGTTTCATTATTATATATATAAATTTTGGTAATCCATGGCCATTAAATATCGTATTGATGAGCATACACTCTACACATACGCGACACGATAAAATATTAATTTAACATTTATCGAAGAACAATTCATAGAAAATATCAAACCACCAGTATAATGGAAAAAAACAATCATGATTTCCAGTAATACGTGTTGCGGAAAAACGACCTAGGACGAAAGTAGAAGAGAAGAATCACACTGGGTGGAGCCGAATGAAACTACATGCGTCTTACAACGAAAATTACGTTCCAAGCAGAAAGACGGAAAAACAAAGCAACAACAGTTCGGTGGGGAACAACGAATGACAGCAACATCACAAAGTGATCTAAATAACCACATGAGGCTACTTGCCCGCAGTTGCTTCGGCGGCACGACGAGCTGCTGCTCGTTTTCCGACCATAGCCGTAAATCCACTTTTGATAGCTGTTACAGAACAACGTGATCCACAGGTATGACATTGAAGGAAGAACAGGCGAGTGTCTTTGGTTAACTCAGTATCGGATGAACGGCAAGTATGACACATCACGTATTCTTCTGAAAACAATTGTCCATATTGCGAATCTCTACTGAGCTGTTACTATGTTCCATAAAGAAATTCGTTTTGGGAAGGGAGGGGGAAAGCCCACTAGGGGAAACCCCGTTCACAGTCTCACCGCCCTACTGGATTGATAGGATTGCGCGATCGGTTCTGCCCTTCTGGGAATCTAGCCGCTGGCGCGTCTGGGAGTGATTCACTTAGAGACACCTACTCCATATCCAATTACAGTGCTGTTTAACCAGTCCGTACGGCGGAAGCGGGATTATAGACTACCCCATCTCTCCTTAGTGTACTGGTCAACTCAAGAGAAAATTTTGACCGAACTTCAAACCTTTCTAAGGAAGCGAAGCCCTCTCTTAGTTGTGCTTTGGGACCAGTCAAGTGTACGGAGGATAGCGCAAGTCTGCCTTGTACGAATGGTTTCAATCAAGGCAGCACAAGTTAGGCCAAACCCAAAGGCAGTGGCCTTGGACGAAGTTTTCCTCTTCAAATAGAAGTCACCAATAAAGCGATTCGGGCCATTTCAACGCCGTACTGTGGAAGGTACCTATAGGACCTAACTCAGAGAAATTCCACTCGTGGCTCGAACCACGTTGTAGCTCGGTAGAGGTTAGCGAAGTGTGTCGAAAAATGATGAATTCCAATTACCGTTTTGGATATGAGAACAGCGACTGCGAGACGGTAAAGAAGTTAGGATACTTACTAACAGCATTCCATAGAACCACATTAACTGGAGTCTGCGAAATGGCTAGGAAAATCTTGATACGGAGATTTCAAAAAATGTCTCGACGATACTTTGTGACAATCTAGAATACTTATTGTTGTGTGAGGGCTAACGTAACGAAAGGTGCTGAGAAACACTGACCCAGCGATCTATATGTAGTGGCTTCAAAACTATTACAAGAACACCGAGTTACGGGTAAAAGTCTTGACTACAGGCGGGACTTGAACCTGTCCTCACGTTGCGAGAAAGTGCGTTATTCCTCAAGCCGCTAGGACCGCTCTTATCCGCTCAGCTTGACGGTTTTTATGCCGTAGCCATTGTTACAGCGTTGTTTAGTCCAGCGTTTTCCCGATCAGCAGGTAACCGCAAGGCCGAAAGCTTCTCTTCCAAATATTGAAGTTGTTTTATTATGCACTTCCTGCTTAATAGCAAAAATCATAATGGTAGAAAGACAGCTTATTGGGGCGTCATATGGAGGCGCCCCTACGCGCACGAAAAGAATAAAGCCTATTCCCATTAATGGCTGCCACCCCGTAGTGGCAACGAATGGTGGAAACATGTTGGTACCCCGCTAAAACATAGGCATACAGAACACGTGTCGCACAATAGCGACGCTTGTCCCTTCCTTGATCAAGGCGCACGCCTAACGAAGAGAAAACTAGTAAAGTGGCTCAGCGTAGAAGAGCAGAAACAGCCACACTGCAACGTACTCACTCCGGCGCAGTTCCGCGACGGATGGGGGGGTGTGTTCGCTTCTCGCCAGCTTCCACAATCGTCGTCAAGCCATCAGTAGATTTTGTGAAATCTTATAATCGCAGAATGATGAGCCAGTTAAGGTTTAGTAGAGATACTTCCCAGGTGTGCAGAAAGGATACCTGTCAATATCTTCCAAGGCGACGCAACACGACAAAGGAAGCAGCGAGGCATAATGCACACTCACCCTCCTCCCTTGCAGACGAAGTCCCCCCCACTCACTACATTAGGTCATATAGCCAGCCTCACCACGACAATACAAGTGTTGAATATAAATGATGCGCCGAAATTTAGCACGAAAGAATTAAGAAACATATTTGTCACATTGGATAGATGTAAACGTAGCAAAGAACCGACATTAATGAAAGTTTCAAGGACAGGTGAAAAGGAACAGGAAGGAAGGAAGTGAGCAATCTAAAGCTTTCGGCAGAGCGTCAAGATAGTCTGCAAGTTTGAGGCGAGCAAACCTAGTAGCTGGTGAGCCTGAATGGTGGCGTACACTCTGGCGGAACTTTCCTACACCATTCACAAATGTGCAGGCTGCCGCAGAAAGCCACGAAAATTTACAGCTACTCATCCACGACCGAAACAGGGTTGATTAATAAATGATGCGTCGATACTACCCCCCCCCCTCCTCAAGTGTTGAATTTAAATGATGCGTCGATACTACCTCTCTCCCCCTCCCAACAACCTGCGGCGGGAACCCGGGCACCATCAGCTTCAAGAGCCTGACAAGCGTGGAAGCAAGATGACTCGTTTCCCTTGGATGCCATATTTACATTATTATTGCACAAAGATCTTGCAATGTAAAAAGACTCACTAATGTATTTCCTCAACACGCTTTCAAAGTGTTTCTGTTGAAACCGTCCTTTCACAATAAGGCAATTGTTACCATCTATCGATCCAGTGGTACCTAAATGGGCAAACTAGTGCAAGTAAGATTGGAAAATGAGTTTCTGGTTTTGGATGAAAAACCGAGGTCTTGATCTAATGGTGATTAATTAGAAATGTATCATTTTTTGTAAGATTGAGAAAAAGGCTCGTCATATAGTGCTGGTTTAGCGAAAACATCAAAATCTACATACCAAGTTCGGCAAGGAGGAACTGAAGCACGTGTTTATCCTGTCGCTTCATTAATCGGCAAATTTCGGCGAAATTAGAGAAGGCGGTCTTCTTACTTCCTGCACGAGCAACCTAAAAGAATGAATGGTTATGAACACCTCCGAAGGCGAGAAGTAGGGCAAGAATTCTTGAAGTTTGCTACAAGACGTGCTACACATTGAGCACTTATAAACAGAAAATAGGTCAAATAAAGCCTATAGCACGAGAAAGGAGCGCTAATCATACAATGGTATCAGAGTGATTACATAGTTAGTTGCATAAGTAGGCCTCTAAACAACTCAGACATTGGAGCAGCTTCGACGCTCACGCAAGTTGGTCAAAGGAATAGAGGACAGAGACCTCATGCCTTGGTGCTGTTCTCCTCTAATCTACCTTCGCAGGATAGATTCTATAGCGAGTATGGCAACATCAAGGCATCAAGTCTCCGCCCATTTTGTTTTCTTTTGACTAACTATCCGGTGTTGAAGCTACTCCAATAGCATGAGAATTCAGAACAAGTCCCTTTACTGTAACATTTGGGAAGAAATGTCGGAATAGAAACAGTGGGCGTAATACGTAATTGTAAAGGAAAGTGTAATTGTAGGAACTGTTTTCGAATGTTCTTCTTCGAATTCGAATCTTCGAAAGTCTTTCTTTCTTCTAATGACTTTATAAAAACAACTAGTAGTAAGTAAAATAGATATTCAATACAAGTTTTTCAAAAGTGTCTCAGTTTCCGTGTTGCTGTTGTGTTAGACGGAAATAAAGAGTAGAATATGGGAATACAAATGCCAAACTGTGAACATTCACTTTTTTTGTGGCCGAACTGCATTTCAGTGTGAAAAAATCTAACCTCTGGTGGCTTCATGGCAAACTTCTTCTTTTCTCCGGAGAGTTCCGGGTTCTTTTCACGCATGATATTGAACACAAGCGTTAAGCATTCATCATAGGAGTAATCTGGCCACGGTCGTTGAGCATCAATAAGGTTTGACACTCCAATACCAATCCCTTGAATGAGACAATGTTAAGAGCTCTATGAAAAAAGGAGCAGACACTTACCTAAATCCATAACTCCATCTTCCTTCTTTTCCTCTTCTTCTTCGACCTTTGGCTTCTTCTTCTTCTTCCCTCCAAGTTTGAGTTCACCTTAAGTGTAGAAAGCATTAAAATAACTCGAAAACCAGTCGAGAAAAAATCCAAACAACCTAAGTCATCTGCTGTAGCTTCAGGTGTCGGTGCTGGCTCGTCATCATCGAGTTTAATCACTTTCTTAGTCTTTTTCTTTTTGCCGAGATTGAGCTCCTAGATGATTGACATCGTTACACTATTTCAAAACTCAAGTGAATGTTTATGTAACTTACAAGATCGTCGTCAGCCATGATTGTACGAGACTAGGCTAAATGAGAAATTATGAAATGAGGATAAACGAAGCGCTCCACGAAAACGTAACACGATGGGAACACGTTACGGAGATGTACAAATTTTCGCAAATCGATTTATTAATCAAGGTTGGGAAAGAGAGAAAAAAGTCGGCGACTTCAGAACACAACTGTAATCCTTTGTGAAATCAGTGAATTAAAACTGTCAATAAAATTTGACGAGCATTTATAGGCATAAGGTGTAGCTGCGTCCAAGACATTGCAAAAAGCGACAAGGTGCTATGACAAGCTTGGCTCTTTTCTGAAATCCCGTCCATTTTCCTTAAGCCTATACACAAATGCTGAATATTCCAGAATCATCACAAGTAAGCTCTATTCGTAAGGGCGAGTAGGTGATCGTCACAGAGGATGTTGGGACTTTTGCCGACAGTGTGTAGTTGCACAGTTCTCAGGGGACAGTAGTTGAAGACGTCGATGGAAAATTCGCCACTGGTATGAAGGAAAAATGGCAACAAAAGGACAAAATCTGGTTTTTTACGTTAGCAGGAGAAGCGTGATGGAGACTGACGTACACAAATCACCTCATTTGAAAACTTCTGTTGAAGACTGGAGGCATTTCGGAGAGTTTTCTCCTCGCAACTCCACAGGAGAGGCCTCACATTTGAAAACAGACCCCG